AGGATGGGCCCGACACGAGAGTCTTTGTTTGTAGATGTTCCCAACCCTCCTTGCCTCCTTCTTCTGTGCAGTGAATTCATCACAGCTGCAGTATCCCCAAGGAGGCCCTGTCCATACCCATTAGAAATATAGGCAAATAGTTTTCATTTGGACAGAGAAAGAGCTGCCAATTAACCCATATTAACCTGAGTTAGTTAAAAGCAAAAGTATAGAATGTCCTGGTTCCAGGAGCCAGTGAGCTGGCATCCAAGAAGGAGGCCAACAGATGCTGCTTTGTCAAAATCATGAGGCCCGTGAGTCACCTGCACCCAACTACCCTGGAGGCGGGGTGGTGAGCTGCGATAAGCCAGGCCCCAAAGGGAGAGAGGGTCTTGGTCTTCTGGTCTTCTGCTAAAGACAGGGCTCACGTATTCATCTCCAGACCAGGCTTTGATTTCCTTGGGGAGTCCACCATCTCTTAATCACAAAAGCAATAAGAATTTCCAATATGTTCCTCTCCCGTGCCTAATCAGTTGTTCCAGCTGTCAGTCATCAGCCACGTCTGGAAGCTCACTTTAAAAGCCCTCTTCCAGCTTTGAAAGCAGTCGTGACCCCCAAGGTGACACAGACAATGAAGGCTGCCCCCACGGGCAGGCTGTGTGTGACGGCTGATTTGATCACCACGGTGTTGTTAATATTGCCCTGTATTCTGGAGGGATCTGTTCTCTTCCTTACGCTTTGATCGATAGGCCACAATGTATGCCTCATTGGTTGAATTTGGAAAATCATTTTGAGTGTTTATGGAAGGGAATTTTTCCTTTTGTAAATGACCTTACAGTTTCACTCTAACATGGGGATTTTCTTCCTGAGGTTATAAATCATTTAACAAAGCCCAAGCATTTGTCAGGAAGCATATGTTATATTGGGCAGGTCTGTGTGAAGTTGGCAGGTGTTCAGATTTAAAGCATTAATAGAGGTTAGCACATGAAGAGTACAGAGTCAGTTCTTGAGTTGGAATGAATGAAGGTATGAATAAAATAACACTCTTAGATGAAAGTAATTAAGATTGAATCCTGGGTGTGTGATGCGATATGGTCACACATCCCTGCCAGTCAGTGTCGGTAAGGGAATCATTCCCTGTGTCAGAGTGGCAATTTCTGAGAAATGTGGGTGTTTGAAAGAGGTCAAGAGCAATCCTGTTGGAGCCGCAGCCTTCTGACTCTAGAGCGTTGCCCACTTTATTGGACGGGACTCTGAGTTGGGGACTGGGTGAAGGTTAAAAGCCACACTTGTGTCTTCAAATTTTCTTGTTTCCGGGTGACATTTACAAGCAGCCATCAGGCCCAGGACTCTATGCAAAGCAATCTGTAAGGATGCTGACCCCAGGCTTCTGCTAGGGCAAAAGTAAGATTGACCTGTAATTCTCATCTAATTTATTAGAAAACAGAGGCAAGAAGGCGCAGGCTTGTTTTGCAGAGAGAGAATTTTTTATATACCTTTCATAAAAAAACTCTCCAAATGCAGACTTTGAACCCCCAGCCCCCTTTCTTATTCTTCATGAGGCTGCTGCCAGAGGACCACCATCTTTGCCAGTACCGTTAACCCGCTGCAGCAGCAGACAGAAAGGGTGTGACTGTGTATCTCTCTATGGGTTAGTCAGTATTTGACGGCAGCCCAGCTGGAGGGCATGCTCCTAAGCTTTCAGCCCTGGACCGGTCATTTTGTATTCCCTACCTCACATCCTGTCCACCACTAACTTCTATTTATTGCTGTGGCAGCCAGCTGTTCAGGAACAGTATGGCAGCACCTCCCTTCAGCCACACCATGTCCCTCTGGCTCTCTGCCTGGGAATCGGGCATCTGTGAGAACATTTGACCATTCTGTTACATGTGCATACTTGGAAGTGTGAAAGAATTAGCACACTAGGACAAACCTCGGCCAGTAGAATAGAGAGAGTTGGTAGATAAATGCTCCTTTCTGTCCATGTTGTACTCATTGAGGCCTAGATGGATCCTGTTGGCATTTAGAGTGTGCTCTTCATTGTTCACTCACCAAGCAAACACAACACTAAGAATGTTGTGTCCCCCCCCCCTTTCTTATGCCAGCAGCTAACTCAGTGTGTGCCACACGGTAGGTACTTCCTAAACATTTAGGACATAATTGGCTACTAAGAGAAGAATGAGATGAGCACAGGTAACTCTGCACAGAGTAAAGCATCAAAATAAAGCAAGGTAGAGAACATTACTGGCAAAAGCAAAGTAGTGTAAGTGGTCACCATACACTTGGGATGTGGTCAGTCTGGTTTGGCCACAGGTCAGGGCACATTGTGGAATCACAAATAAGATAGTGCGTTAGAGTGCTTTGAACACTATCCAGTGCTCTTCTGTAGTAGGAGCCTGTGTTTTGCTGGAATTGGCAGAGTTGGCCTCCTCCATGTTGCATCCCCCTCAAGGAGAGGAACTCATATGTGGAGAGAGAGTGGCATGTAGAACTCAGTAAATATTGAATTAAGAAATGTATTTGTTGTATGATGAATGACCAGGAGGACTAAAGATGGATGGTGGGAGCCAGTGGTCAATGGGGTATAGAAGGGGCCCTCAACCAGACACTCAGTGAGTGACAGGCTGTAAACAATACCAATTTCTGAGCTTATTTCATCACATTTAGTACAGAATGTTACGAATGTTGCTAATAGAAACCCCTGGAAAGCCCCACATTTTCTGTTGAACCCTGGAGTTAAACTTAGAATGTGAACCCCAAGTTTCCCCGTTGCCCACTGGGCTGTAAACAACAGGGCACTGCTTCCCTTGTGATAAATACACACACACACGCATACAAAATTGCCTCCAAGGGAAGGTAAGTGATGGATGCATTCAGCAGGTATAACAAAATAAATAGGAGAGCTCACATCTCTACACTCAGGCAGAGGAAAAAAACAACAACCAGGAAGTTAGCTGTGCTTTCAATGTCTGTGTGACCTCTTATTATTCCATTAGTTTTTAGAATAGTATATAAAACACCAGGATCCATGCTGACAAACACCAGTATTGAAACCATTGCCACAGTCAATCCAAAAGGCTTCTCCCCTGGGTAAAATTGTTATTTGGAATACAAGCAGAATTGTGGCTCCCAGAGCTAGCTGAGCATAAATGAGGGCAGTGATTCATAAGGTGACTCCAATGAGTTTGCAAATGTGCAGCTTTTTTGGAGGCTGACACACACACAGAAGCTCAGCATTGCCTTTTTGAGCTCCTAAGCATTTTCTGGTCTCAGTGTCTCTTCAGGACTTGGAGGGCTGGAGTGCAAGCTTCTGAGGATGAGTGTTAACCTGAAAGATTGCTGATTAACCAGAAATAGACCTTTCACATCAGATCATACCCCTGTCAGGCACTTTTTGAGCGGGAACATGGTAATTCTGCCTCTTCATATGTTCTTTAAAGTATCTGAACTCCTGTTCCATTGGATTAAGTTTTTGGGGCTGGGTCATCTAGGGTATTAATTCTATCCTGGAGAAGGGTGAAGAAAAGTGCTACTGGTTTAAAAATACAACTCTCTGAACTTTTAAACCCTCAAATCTTCCTGATAATGTGGTTTCTCTTTCTTAATCCTGAACCTGATTTCATTTTTTTAAAAAAAAGAAAAAATCCATTTGTTCTTTGATAGTGGAAGAGTAAGTTCAAAATGAGCAGAAATGGGTACAGAACTCAGCACAGCTTTGTACAGGAAGGGAAGTTCAAGATTTTTTTTTTTTTTTTTTTTTTTTTTTTTTTTTTTTACAGGCAGAGTGGACAGTGAGAGAGAGAGAGAGAGAAAGGTCTTCCTTTGCCGTTGGGTCACCCTCCAATGGCCGCCGTGGCCGGCGCGCTGCGGCTGGCGCATCGCACTGATCTGAAGCCGGGAGCCAGGTGCTTCTCCTGGTCTCCCATGGGGTGCAGGGCCCAAGCACTTGGGCCATCCTCCACTGCACTCCCGGGCCATAGCAGAGAGCTGGCCTGGAAGAGGGGTAACCGGGACAGAATCCAGCGCCCCGACCAGGACTAGAACCCGGTGTGCCGGCGCCGCTAGGTGGAGGATTAGCCTATTGAGCCGAGGCGCCGGCCGGAAGTTCAAGATTAAGTTAAAGTTAAAGCAATGCTGGTTTGATTGCAGCATACTGGGATGTCTTCTGAGTGGGTACCCAATGCCAAGAGAACTTCCCTTATAGATTCTGCGTGTCAAAACCCCTGGGCATTTCTTCCGGGCATTGTATCAATTAGCTGATTGACATGGCACATGCTCAAGTTTGAGGTTCCATATAGTTCTCAAAGGCTACAACTGGGGTTCTCACTGACTCTCTGTTGTAATAGGCCACAGCAGGGAAAGATCCCAGAGCTTCATCTGAAGCCCCATTTTCATATTTGGTAATGTTGGAAGAGGGCTCCTTTTAGGTGAAGGCCAAATGTATTCATTCCTGCCTTGGAGAAGCACCTTGGTCAGTTAGACTCACAAGTAGGTATAGGATCCTGCATTTGTAGGATCAGATCAGTTTCATTCTCAATATGGTGATGTAGCAGGTGCCCAGAGACCTAGGCCTGATCTTCAGTGAGAACAGCAAGAGGCTTGTGCTGTGCCCTTCTCAGTCAGCTGACTGAAGATCTGTCACCTGATTCTCATCCCCCATGAGTGAAAAACACTAACCCAGAGACCTTCCCTCAGATGCAAACAGCACAGGCCTGACTACACGGTGTACAGGCAGGGAACTGGCAGGGCTTGACCACACCTAGGAAAGGAACTGGCAATAGCAGCCTGGAGCTTGCCCATGTGAGCTCTGGAGTCAGCCGCAGAGCTCTCTCCACCAAGGAAGCTGTTCTATCGAGAAAACAAAAGCTGTGTATACCTAAGAAGGAGAGAACAGTTCCCTGCAAACCACCCAGAGAAAAACAAACAAGCCCCTAAAATATGCTTGCTGTCAGCCTTCAGAGTCTTAAAAGATGCGGGCTTCACTTGGGCACAGTCTCACGGTTCTTTTCCCTTGCTTTCAGCACCCATTTTCTCCAGCAATCATTCAAGCCGAAGCGGAACAGCTGCTGGGGCCGTGCCACCCCCACATCCTGTCAGTCACCCTTCTCCAGGACATAATGTACAGGGGAGCCCCCACAACCCCTCCTCCCAGTTACCTCCACTCACAGCTGTGGACACAGGAGCTGAGAGGTAAGGCCATCTGTCTCTCTCTCGTAATAGGTGTCGCCGCCAAGCCTCCCTCCACGGAGAAGTGCTTTGACAGTTGCTGCATTTTATTAATAATCCATCGGTGGGTTGAGTTACCCGAAGGTGACATTTTGAAAGTAACATACACAAAGCACATGGACCAAATATCTCATTATCTGTTATATTTTTGCCATGCGAAAACAAATGAAATGATATTGGCAACAGCCAACTGGAGTGTCAGGTGCTGGAATCATGTATTGTATCACCCTGTCTTTCCCACTGTTCCTCTGTTTCGGGGACTCAGGTTTAAGGTAATGCAAGTGTGGGTTGAATTGCTTTCCATGTGTAAGATGAAGCCCTTGTCACATAGCACGTATTGTTGGCTTGGGGCAAAGCTTCAAAGGACACATGTTGGTACCTGGACAAGGAGATCTTCACTGAATACTTTATATTGGTATTACTTTATGGTATTTTTTTCTTATAGATTCTCCATTGACTTTAAAGGCTTTTGGGAACCTTTCTTGTATTTCTGCTCCCTAATATCATGTGTGTTTTTGTGGATCACAACCCAAAATAAGCATTTGCATCTCTTGTGTTCCCCATCTCCTGCCACGTTTTGGAGAGCAGGCACTGCTGAACTTCTCTTGCCCAGTGGTAAGATGTGAGGCCGTGTCAGCATAGGGCACTGTAGCAGGAGACTGGGCACCTCAGTCCCTCTCTCTGCACTGCCCGATCCTCCAGTGATGTGCACAGAGTGCCCACACCTGTGCCACCCCTTTCCAGTTGTCAACTGGCTTGAGTTGATCTACTAAGGTGTGACTCTCAGGTATTCAGAAGGGAGAAAAGGTTCTTTAAGGAAGCCCTGTACAATCTTGAAGTGGTTGCATTTGGTGAACAAAATGATGTGTTGAACAGGTAGCAGAATTAAACATTTTGAATCTCGGATTTTACCATCAGTCTGAGGTTCCATTGTTCTTGGTCTAATTTCTGAATTTAGTTTGTATTTTAAGTCTGATATCTTATGGTTTATACCTACTTCCCTATTTATTCAGTCTTTTGTTTAATGAACTTCAATTGATTTTTGGATGCTTGCCATTGTAACTGGAGTGAGGTACAACCTTATTGTGGTTTTTATTTGCATTTCCTTTGTGGCTAGTGATAGTGAGCATTTTTTCATGTATCTGTTGGACATTTGAATTTCCTCTTTTAAAAAATGCCTGCTGAAGTCCTTTGCCCATTTCTTAACTAAATTGTTTATTTTGTTGTTGAGTTTCTTGAGCTCTTCATGGATCCTGGATATTAATCCTTTATCAGTTGCATAGTTTGCAGATATTTTCTCCCATTCTGTCACTTGTCTCTTAACTTTGTTGAGTGTTCCCTTTGCCATGCAGAAGCTTCTTTGCTTGATGTAATCCCATTTGTCTATTTTTTATTTTATTGCCTGTGCTTCTAGTATCTTTTCCAAGAAGTCTTTCCCTGTGCCAAAATCTTGCAGGGTTTCCCCAATGTTTTACTCTAGTAATTTTATAGTATTGAGTCATATATTTAGAGCCTTGATCCATTTGGTGTTGATTTTTGTTTAAGGTATAAGGTAGGGGTCTTTCATGCTTCTGCCCATGTAGATTCAGTTTTCCCAGCATCATTTGTTGAAGAGACTGTTCCTTCTCCTGAGAAGATTAGTTTCTTGTGGATGCATGGATTTTTCACACTAGCTAAGATATGGAATCAACCCAGATGTGCATTAACTGATGACTAGATAAAGAAAATGTGGTATATATACTCTATAGAATACTACTCAGCCATAAACAAGAATGAAATCTTGTCTTTTCCAACAAAATGTATGCAACTGAAAACCATCATGGTTAATAAAATAATCCAGTCCCCAAAAGACAAGTATCATATATTTTCTCTGAAGTTTGGAAGTTAATATAGAATAAAAAAAAGTGTAGGAATGAAATAGATATCTTGTGATATGATTATTGTCTTTAGCCCTTGTTTATACTCCTGTGTTACTGTGGTCTTCCTACTTTTTACTTGTTAAGTATTATAGTTAGTAATGAATTAAACCTATGATTATGGAGTGCATTGAAATTTTGTCTTTGTAAAAATTTTTAAAAGGAGAAGGATTGAGGGAAAGAGAATAGTAGGAAGGGAAGTATGGTTTATCTTCATCGAACTGTACCTTTTTTTTTTTTTTTTTTGGACAGGCAGAGTGGACAGTGAGAGAGAGAGACAGAGAGAAAGGTCTTCCTTTGCCGTTGGGTCACCCTCCAATGGCCGCCGTGGCCGGCGCACTGTGGCCGGCGTGCTGCGGCTGGCGCACCACGCTGATCCGATGGCAGGAGCCAGGTACTTCTCCTGGTCTCCCATGGGGTGCAGGGCCCAAGAACCTGGGCCATCCTCCACTGCACTCCCTGGCCACAGCAGAGAGCTGGCCTGGAAGAGGGGCAACCGGACAGAATCCGGCGCCCCGACTGGGACTAGAACCTTGTGTGCCAGCGCCGCAAGGCGGAGGATTAGCCTAGTGAGCCGTGGTGCTGGCCTCGAACTGTACCTTTGAAATGCATGAAATCTGTTCTCCTCATATTAATTTTTTTAAAAGAGCCTCAATTGAGTACCTGCTATGCTTCAGATGATGTAGTGGGTATAGATGATAGAAAGATTATTAAAATTTGCTCCTGTCTTTATAGGTATTAGTAATGAGGATAGATGTGTAAAGAAAGCATAAAAGACAGTTTGGAAACATGATAAAATACGGATACCACAGCAGCTTAAAGAGGATGTCCCTAACTCTGCCTCAGGTGGGACGGAAAAGACAGACCTGATGACCTAGGCATTGAAAGAATAAAGCCTTTTTCAGGTGGATACATGGGAACAGCATCCCACACAGCCCAAACATGTGAGAGAGAAAGAAGATACACACACAAAGCATGTGGCTGATGGAGTCCAGATGGTAGGGGGTTAGCACGTATATATCCTTGTATTTTGTGTCCAAGGAATTTTCCCCTCATCCAACTGGAAATAAAGCACTATTGTGAGCTGTTAGGAGAGAGACATAATCAGATGGATACTGTCAAGAGGGAACTCAGAGAACAAGATACTAGAATAATTCAGGCTGAAGTGAGAGATGGAAAGACACAGAGGGATCTTTATGAGAAATATGGAGACTTGAAGCAAGACAAAGCAGTAAGGATGGAGAATGCACTCAAAAACTTTAGGAGGCAGAGTCACTTGTTATTAATAGGAGTAAGGAGAAGAGGTCAGAATTCCTTCCTGAGTTTCACAACTGGATGGAAAACTGCACAGCTGACAGAAATGGAAAATACAGGAAGATCATGGTAGTATGGTGTGACAGAAGATGAAACAATAAATTGGCTTTAGGAGTTTGAGTTTTAGAAGGTTGTAAAAGATCCACGTGACAATGTCTGATAGGCAGTTTGAACCAGGAATCACCAGATCAGACTTACTGTAACAGTTTCAGTTCCCTGGTGAAGTGTAAACAACCATTAGCCTCCTACCACAGGCCCCATCAGTAAAGCAGTATGAATGTAACCACCCATTAAGTTCATAAACACTGGAGATAGAAAAACTGTTTTGCCAGTTATTTGATATATTCCTATAAACTGGGATGATGAGTAATTCCTTTTAGCTTTTTTAAAGCAGTTTCCAGTTGGGTTTTAAGTGGTATTAGCCATGGGTGTTTCATCGTCTTGTTTCATTCTGCCTGGTTGAGAATCACATTCTACAGGTAGTGAGACTCAGACACAATGTGTGGGAACCTTCCCTTCTGCCCTGCATCTCCTTATCACTAGGTTATGACAACAGTTATCAAAGCATAAGAGAAATGCAGTCATGGTCTCTCCTTCTTATACAGAGCCTTTAAAAGAATATGTGTAGCAAAAGATTTTAGCCATTGTTCAAGTCAGAAACAGCAACCATCACAACCCAAACACCTGACTGAGTCCCAGCTCTGGCAATGGCTAATTGTTTGGCTGTAGATTTGTTCCTTAGCTGCTCTTGCTGCTTGGGAGTTTGTTTCGCATTTTATTTTATTTAACGGTTTTTATTTTTTTAAAATACCCTCTTAGAAATGTCAAGAATAGTACAGCAAACACCTGTACACCCTGCACTCATATCCACCCTAGCCACTTTTTCTTCTTCTCTTCCATTCTATTCATCCCTGGTTTGGGAGGTTCTTTATGAGTTGGCTTGCCTGTTATTTCTGAGCCATTTGAGAAATACTTGCAGATATCATTGAACTTTACCCCTAATTACTAAAGTGGAATTCACCAAAGAACATTCTCCTACACAAACCCAATGTAATAATCACACTTAAGACTTTTAACATTGATATAATGCTATTATCAGTCAGTATTAAGATTTCCCTAATTTTGTGAATAATATCCATTAGAGCTGGAGTGGTGGTGTTTTCTTTCCTTTTTATACTTTAGAAACTAACAAGGATCACTCAATGCATTTAACTGTCATGGCTTTTTAGTTTTCTTGAGTATAACAAGGTTGCCTAATTTTTGTCTTAGTTTTTTATTTTATTGCCTTATAGTATACTGACGGTTTTTGAAGATCTTGGGACATTTATCTTGCACAGTGTTCCGTTGTTTGGATTTATCAGATTCACTGTAAACACCTCTGGCTGAGTACTGCATAGGTGATCTGGTGCAGTATTCCTTTGCTGTTTTCACACTTGGTTTGTGCATCCCGAGGTTTTTGAATTAAATGAGGCAAAACAGGTAAAGGGCCTAGCATGTTCTATGGCATGGAGGGAGCATTCAGTAGCCATGGATGCTAACACAGAGATTTGGGTTTGAAAGCCAGAGGATGTTGTTAAAGGATCATAGAGGATGTCGTTAAAGGATCACTGAAAATGTAAATAATCATGGAAGGGGAAATGGAGAAGGAAGGGGAAGGAGACGATACTTTCTGTGGAAGAGTGAATGAAGAAGACTTTTGCACTCTTGTGGTTTCGCCTCGCTGCTGTGTTCTTC